GCTGTACCATATCAGATTCAATAGCTGCCCATTTAGTTACCCAACGAACCTTCTCGAAGATCCGCGCGAGCGTGGGAATATATGCACGACGCGTGTCGAAACTTCGAGAACAAAAATTCAGCGCATACAAAAACTCGCATCTGCCCTTCAGCTGCCTCAGTCGTTCCCTTTCTCCCTCATCGCGAACTCATCTCCGTCCATCGTAAGTCGGTAGCACCTGTCTTTTCCTGTCTGCATGTCTCACCGCGACCTTTAGCACAAAAATGTCCGCACCCGAGACAGAAAGCTTTGGCTTCCAGGCTGAGATCTCGCAGCTGCTCGACCTGATCATCAGTACGTCTTATCTCGTCGCTTGACGCAGCAGATCAGCTAACCACATCCTCAGACACCTTCTACTCCAACAAGGAGATTTTCCTTCGCGAGCTCATCTCCAATGGCTCTGATGCCCTCGACAAGATTCGTTATGCCTCCTTGACTGACCCCTCTGTTCTCGACTCCGAGAAGGAGCTCTTCATTCGCATCATCCCGGACAAGGAGAACAAGATCCTTTCCCTCCGCGACACCGGTGTCGGTATGACCAAGGCCGACATGGTCAACAACCTCGGTACCATCGCCAAGTCTGGCACCAAGGTTTGTTCCGCGCATCCGTTCCCTTTTGATCTCTGGTGCTGATCCGTGTCTCAACAGGGATTCATGGAGGCGCTCAGCTCCGGTGCCGACATCTCCATGATTGGCCAGTTCGGTGTCGGTTTCTACTCTGCGTACCTTGTCGCCGAGCGCGTGCAGGTCATCTCGAAGCACAATGACGATGAGCAGTACATCTGGGAGTCTGCTGCCGGTGGCACTTTCACCATCACTCTCGACACCACAAACCCGCCTCTTGGCCGTGGTACCGAGATCCGCCTCTACCTCAAGGAGGACCAGACCGAGTACCTTGAGGAGAAGCGCATCAAGGACATCGTCAAAAAGCACTCCGAGTTCATCTCGTACCCCATCCAGCTCGTTGTGACAAAGGAGGTCGAGAAGGTTCGTTGAGTCTGCTGTGTATACCTTAGCTGTTTCTGATTGTTTTCGCAGGAGGTCGAAGATGAGGAGGAGGAGGCAAAGGAAGACGAGGAGAAGCCTAAGATCGAGGAGGTTGATGACGACGAGGACGAGAAGAAGGACAAGAAGAAGAAGACTGTCAAGGAACAGAGTAAGGTCAACGAGGAGCTTAACAAGACCAAGCCCATCTGGACTCGCAACCCCAGCGACATTACCCAGGAGGAGTACGGTGCCTTTTACAAGTCGCTCACCAATGACTGGGAGGACCACCTCGCCGTTAAGCACTTCTCCGTCGAGGGTCAACTTGAGTTCAAGGCCATGCTCTTCCTTCCCAAGCGGTAAGCGGATCTCATTTTGTTATCTCTTCTGTATCTGACTTGTACCCTGCAGTGCGCCCTTTGACCTCTTCGAGAGCAAGAAGAAGCGCAACAACATCAAGCTCTACGTTCGCCGTGTCTTCATCATGGACGACTGTGAGGACCTTATCCCCGAGTACCTCAACTTCGTCAAGGGTATCGTCGACTCTGAGGACCTGCCGCTCAACATCTCGCGTGAGACCCTTCAGCAAAACAAGATCCTTAAGGTCATCCGCAAGCACATCGTCAAGAAGTGCATGGATCTCTTCAGCGAGATCGCGGAGGACAAGGACAACTTCCAAAAGTTCTACGAGGCGTTCGGCAAGAACATCAAGCTTGGTATCCATGAGGATGCTCAGAACCGCAGCAAGCTTGCAGAGTTCCTGCGTTTCCACTCTACCAAGGCTATCGAGGAGACCATCACCCTCAGGGACTACATCACGCGCAAGCCCGAGTCCCAGAAGGCCATCTACTACCTCACCGGTGAATCCCTTGCCGCCATCAAGGACTCGCCCTTCCTGGAGGTCCTCAAGAAGAGGGGCTACGAGGTCCTTTTGCTCGTCGACCCTATTGACGAGTACGCCATGACGCAGCTCAAGGAGTTCGATGGCCTCAAGCTCGAGTCTGTCTCGAAGGAGGGTCTCGAACTCGAGGAGACTGAGGACGAGAAGAAGGCGCGCGAGGAGGAGGCCAAGTCGTATGAAGATCTGTCCAAGGTCATCAAGGATGCGCTCGGTGACAAGGTCGAGAAGGTTGTCGTCTCGAACCGTATTTCCGACTCTCCTTGCGTTCTCGTCACCGGCCAGTTCGGTTGGTCATCGAACATGGTGGGTTTCATTGCCGTCTTGCTTTGTTGGTATCTTCACGCTGACCAATGTATGTAGGAGCGTATCATGAAGGCCCAGGCTCTTCGTGACTCGTCGATGTCTTCGTACATGGCGTCGAAGAAGACGCTCGAGCTGAATCCCAAGCACCCAATCGTCAAGGAGCTTAGGCGCAAGGTCTCTGAGGACAAGGCTGACAAGTCTGTCCGGGACCTCACTTACCTCCTGTTCGAGACCGCTCTCCTCACGTCTGGCTTCTCTCTCGAGGAGCCGACGTCTTTCGCCAAGCGCATCCACCGAATGATCTCGTAAGCGTCCCTTGATTCGTCGCATGGCGTGCAGTTGCTCATGATTGTTGTCTTCCAGGCTGGGACTTGACGTCGACGAGGAAGAGGAAGCAGCGCCCGCCATCGAAGAGGTTACGCCCGCAGCAGAGGGCGCATCGACCTCGGCGATGGAGGAGATTGATTAGACGTGCGCGCGCGCGCGTTTTGCTTGTGAAGGGGATTTGTAGTAAAATAGGCTGTCATTATCGCGTGTATTAGGCTCTCACATCTGTTCACTCCTCCCATCTGTCCATACTGCATCATCATCTAGCTATCCATCGAAAAAGCATTCTTTCCCTCCGTTGCTATAGCATGCTGCGTGCTGTGCGTTGGACGTTGGACGCTGGCTGTCATTTGAAAATGGTATGGAAAGATGAACGATGGATGACAAGATAGCGCGCGGGCGGGCCGAGAGGGGAAGTGAACGGGTGCGAATGGGACGAACAACGACGGGCATTCGCCGTGCCGAACAAAGCGATCGAGCTGGCTGCCCGTTCTTTCCTTTATCCTTCTCGTCACGTACTTTTCACTCACTGTCATCAACTGTTCGCGACAGATGCACGGGTGCCAGCCACGCTGTTCACCGCCACGACGTGATATCACGTTCCATGCCGCAGCGCAGTCGTCCTCATGCGTCCTCGCGCGATCCTCGTGTCTCGTCCTCGGAGCCTGCGAACCGCGTCCCTGGTAGGGAAACCGCCTGTATTGACGTGGCGACGCGCGTACACGCGAGTCATTGTGCGGGTGATGGCGCCGACCAAGAAAGGCGAGATAATAGTTGACTCGGGCGTCGCTGAGAAACGAGGCAAGGGGGCGGGCATTGTTCGCTGGATTAGCACTTGCTTAGTCAGCAGGAGGGGAGGCGGCCTTGCGGCGGCAGCGTGCCCGCTTACCACGCGATATCTTCCTCCCATTGTCCCTCCCTCTCTCCATATAACAATAATCCCTCCTTTCTGCCTGTTCCTTTCTGTCTTCAATCCCGCATTCTTAAGGCCCTCTGCTTGGGCCATTTCTCCCCATCGACCCCCACCAGCTCCCCACAATGCCTCCGATCCCTATCCTCGCACCCCAGCCTCGCCGTCTGGTCCCACAGCCGACGATTATCGACCCATCCGAGCCCGTGTTACCCATCAACCTCGACGATCCGTTCATCGTCAGTCTCTTTCATCCCTGGATCCCTTATCCCGCCGCTTACCCTGTCTTTGCAGTGTCGGACACCAGCCCCGAAGAATGCGCAGCTTCCCCGTCTGATGTCGCCCATCCGTCTTCACCATCGTACCAAGCGCGCTCTGGTCCGTGACCTCTTCGCCGTGTATGCGCCCTCCCTGACCTTCCCATCGCTATAGACGTCGCAGTCTCCGACGCCGTGCAGCTCCGTCAAATGTGCCCCACGCACTCCCCGGCGGCGGCGACACCATATACGCCCAGACACCATGTTCCCGTCACGCGTCATCAACTTTGACTCGCTACCATGGATCTCCGCCCTCGATGACCCCGTCACCACCGCGGGAAACGTCTGGGACTCCGACCTCTCGCAGCTCGCATCGGCGGAGCGAGTGCGCGCCAATGGAGCCGGCCCAGTCCGTCGGCGTAAGTCCACGACCCTCTCGAGAGACCGGGCAGAGCCACTTGCCCCGCTCGTATCACCTCCTCCGGACGCGGCCTCGACGCCTCCACCACGGTTCCCGTCACCGCAGCGAGTGAAATTCATCGGTTTGATGCCCGCCATGACCCCCATTCGACCGTCGAGTCCCTTGCAGTGGTGAAAGTGGACCCGCTCCATGCCGTCATTGCTCGTTCTCGCCCCAAGTTAGAAGTCCCGTTTAATCGCCACCCCCTGCATCACGTCACCGTTCCTTCACACATCGGTTCCTCAACACACACCCTTCCATCAGCCACGCAATTCGGATTCACCCGTGCCCTGCCTGCAACTCTGCATCATCACCGTGGTCCTCCTCGACGCATATATTCGCAATCTTCCCGCATTTCATTCATCCTCATCTCAAGAATCTGGCGACCAATCGAACGCTTCTCGTACTCAATCGTATTAACGCCCGTTCACCTTCGATGTTGTTATTTGTACGTTCACACCTGTTGTGTTGCTATCTATTTCGTGCACTGTGTCCCGCCTGTACCCTGTACCGCACGCCCAATGTCTGTCTTCCCAACCGCATCTATATATGATGTTGCAAATGGCCCTCCTTAATGCCGGTTCCTTATGAGGTGTACACATATCGAGGTTACTTCACCTCCAATATTCATGTACAAGTTGTTTTCGTACAATGTGCACTACAGCGCTGCCGCTGCGCGAAAGATCCCAGGGGGAAAATAGAATGATTTGCTGAGAAATATCGAGTAGAATGACTGGCTGATGAACATTTGTGACATCGTGCGAGTGCACAATCCGTTTGCTGGTTGATGGAAACACGTGAAAAATGTGGCAAAAGATACTGCCCCAGTGAGGCTCGAACTCACGACCTTCCGATATGGTTTCTGCTAGACGCGGATAACAGTCGGACGCTGTAACCAACTCAGCCATGGGGCAGATGCTAGTCGACGGGCCTTTGTCCTCCACAAAACGTCATGGTGGTACACGACCAAAAGTCACTTGCGCTTTGTTTTTGCGAGGTCATTCTAGCTTCTGCACTACTCCTACATGCCGGCACTAACCAGCGCCAGCTTCTAGCTCGAAGCAGCCGCACTCGCCTCTTCGGAGACGAACGTTTCCATATAAGCGACCAGCTTGTCAGTGTCTGCCTCTGTAACGGCATTATACAACGATACGCGGATGCCTGGGAAGCATGGAACGGTCAGGTGTTTGTTGGTCTCCGGAGAAACCGTCAGAAACATACCTCCCACAGAGCTGTCGCGCGACAGTGCACGTCGTGTCAGACGTTGAATCCGGATGAACGAAAGTCGGCGAGAAACACTCACCGGTGTCCCTTGAGCCCCTTCATGCCCATCGCTTCTGCGCCGGCGACGAAGCGCTGTTCTGCACCGTCTCCGAGCACGGCAAAGACGACGTTCATCCAGCTGCCGGCGCCAGGCTGCACCTTGCCCTGGAACACGCCGCGCTCCTCACCCGCGCGCACGGCGGCATACACCTTCTCCGCCTTGCGCCTGTTCAGCGTCTCGAAGTACGGCATGCCGCCGAGCGCCTGCATGCGCTCGAGCACGAGCCCGGCGATGTAGATCGGCAGCACGGACGGAGTGTTATACAGGCTCTTGCTCTCCGCGAGCGTCTTGTATGAGAGCGAGAGCGGGACCGGCGACGCGCCGAGCGCCGCGGCGGCGTCAACGTCGACGAGGCAGTCCTGGCGCACGATGAGGATCGTGAGCCCCGCGGGGCCGATGTTCTTCTGCGCGCCGGCGAAAATGACGGCGTGCTCGGCGAGGTGCGGAATCGGGCGCGACATGAACGAGGACGAGTGGTCCGCGACGAGCGGGAGCAGCCCGCCGCGCTCGCGCGGGAGGCGCGCGAACGGAAACGCGGTCGGCGCGGCGGCGTCCGGCGCGAACTGAACGCCGTCGACGGTCTCGTTTTCGCAGTAGTAGATGAGCGCGGGCGCGGGCGAGAAGGCGTACTCGCTGTGCGGCGGGACGTTGTCGAACGACGCGCCGTCCTTGGAGTAGCGCCGCGCGTCGAGGGCGACGTTTGCGCGGGCGCCGCCGAGGCGCAGCGCCTCCTCGTACGCCTTTTTGCTCCACGAGCCGGTGAGGACGTAGTCGACGATGCGCTCGTCGTCGGGCAGATCGGGGTGCAGCAGCCGGTGGCGTGCGAGGAGGTTGAGCACGACGGCGGAGAACTGGGCGGTGCCGCCGCCCTGGGTGAAGAGGATGGAGTGGGTGGGCGGGACGTCGAGCTGGGTCCTGATGAGGGACTCGAGGTTGGAGATAAAGGCGACAAACTCCTTGGAGCGGTGGGATATCTCGGCGATACCGATGCCGGTGTCGTTGAAGTTGAGAAGTGCCTCTGCGGCCTTTTCGAGCACGGACTGGGGAAGGGCGGAAGGACCTGCGCCAAAGTTGACTACGCGGGAAGTCGCCATCGTCGTGGATTCGTGCGGGGAGAGAGCGAGTTGTGCCAGCGCACCATGAGTCGTGTGGAATGTCCTGCGTCACTCGTCGGACGATGGCCAGATGGAGAACGCGCGCTGCCCTCGACTGTCAACAGCGGCCTCGTGGCAAACGTAGCACATCTGCCCCATGGCTGAGTTGGTTACAGCGTCCGACTGTTATCCGCATTCAGCAGAATCCACATCGGAAGGTCGTGAGTTCGAGCCTCACTGGGGCAGTCTCTTTTGCTCTTCGTCCCCCTCGTCGACCTCGCCCAGTCTTTTGCTACAATGGTCAAGAGAGCCAGCGCAAAGGCTCCTCAGGCTGTCCCGGTTACTCCCCCAAAGAATATCGTGTTCCCCCAGCTCTCGGAGAAAACCTACCTTCGGTGCCATACTCTCCTCGAGGATCAGATCCTGCTACTAGATGTACGCCCGGGCTTGCGATCGCCTGTTCTGGTAACCTTCAAGGCCCTTAGAACCTCTTCACGCCAGCAGAATGCAAATCATTCATCGAATTCGTTGACAACCAGCCCCTCGAGTTGACGCCGCCAAAGAAGCGAGGAGAAGCAGAGAGAGTGAACCGTATGTATTACCCCTCCACACCGCCTTCAATGTTGCTCTGACCTCGGCGTCTTCACAGACAGAACCTCTATTCCTTCGGCCGAGTTTGCAGATCGTCTGTGGTCCGTGCTTCGCCCACACGTACCGCCATTCCCATACCCTGCTTCGTTGAAGCGACCGGACGCCAGTGCGCGGCCTGCTCATTCCCTCAACTCGAACATCCGGCTCTACAAGTACACACCCTCTCAGCACTTTGGTCCACACTACGATGACTCCGTACGCGATGCAAAGTCGGGTGCGGTGTCAGAGTGGACGCTACTGATATACCTCACTGGCGCTGAGGATGGGGTGCAGGGTGGAGAAGTGAGTCCAACGGATATCATGTTCACTTTTCGCCCCTCATCCCGGGGTCGCAGACCGTATTTTATACCGGCAACAAAGCCAAAGCTTCAGACGCTGTCATCGCACCGCTGAAGAGAGGCACCGCTCTCCTCCATAGGTTCGTATATGGTGATGCCTTTAGCACAACGCAGGAGTCTCATTTCGTTGCTAGGCATGGCAACGAATGTCTCCTTCACGAGGGTTCCCAGGTCCGCAGCGGAACCAAATACGTGCTTCGTTCGGACGTCATGTTCATGGACTGACACGCAAGAGATAAAGACGAGGGAGCGTATAGTAAAAACTACCTCTTGCTCTTTTTCTTTTTCAAAGGCATTCCTGCCTGCACCACGTCGTCGTCGCGATCTCGAGTATCCTGGTCCTCCGCGCCGCCCCTTCTTCGCTTCTTGTTTCCCCTTTTCGCGCCCTCCTCTCTAAGCTCGGTCGCCGCCAGCCGCCCGGCTTCCTCCACGCGTTCGCGTAACAGTGCAACCTCTTCTTTATCCGTTGGCCAGAGATCCAGTTTCTTCCCGATGACAGCTTCGATGCGCTGAATCAACTCCACGTCGTACTGCGTTACGAGTGTGATAGATTTGCCTGCACGCCCAGCGCGCGCTGTCCGGCCGACCCGGTGGATGTAATCCTTCGAGTGTGTGGGGATGTCAAAATTGATGATAACGTCCACCGCCGGGATATCGAGACCTCTAGAGTGCACCATTAGAATCCACCTCCGTCTCTTCCCAAATGTGCACTGACCGACTAGCTACATCGGTAGCAACCAAGATATTTTTACTTCCGCTTTGAAATTTACTCAAAGACCCAAGGCGTTGACTTTGGCTAAGCTGGCCGTGCAGAGGTATCGCAGCAAAGCCTAGGTTCCGTAGTATAATGGATAACCTAGAAGAGGTCGGCATCCTGAGCGCCTGGCCAAGTGTGGTGTGCGTACCTCTGCGCATCGTGGACTGTTCTTGTGAATACAATCATGGAATTTTGAGCCAAGGAATTGGCGAGGTAGACGAGGTGGACGTCCTTTTGAGACAGAGGTATAAAGAGGTAGTATTGCAGTAGAGTAGACACTGTCGAGTATCTGCGTGACGGTGTCAGAATACGAGTCGACGCGTATAAGCCGCCCGTACTTTGTCGATACTTCTACGCGCACGGGATTAGACAAGCTCGCGCGCTGCAGCTTGGCTACTTTTGTGGTCATCGTCGCGGAGAACAGATATGTGGTTCGCTCCTTTGGAATGGCTTTGAGGATGGCATCGATATCTGGCCCAAAGTCCATGTCCAGAAGGCGGTCTGCTTCATCTAGCACCTATACCCACTCATGTTCCTGTACGCCTCGGATGCCGTGTGAGGTCACTCACCAAGAACTTGAGCCCACGCAGACTGAACCCCTTCGTGTTTTCCAAGTGATCCTTCAGCCGCCCAGGGGTCGCCACAACGATGTGCGGCTTCTTCGCCAGCGCAATCGACTGGGACACCATGTCCATCCCGCCCACGAGCACCGTGCAGCGCACACCCATCGCCGAACCAAGCGCCTCGAATTGCTGGGATATCTGATAGGCCAGCTCGCGCGTCGGCGCAAGGATGCACGCGAAGAGACCCTTAGGCTCGTCCCATAGCTTTTGGAGGATGGGCAGCGCAAAGGCAGCGGTCTTCCCGGAGCCGGTGGACGCTACACCGATGATGTCCCGGCCCTCGAGAGCGGATGGGAGTGCCTCGACCTGGATGTCAGTCGGCGCCTTCCAGTTCAGTTGCTTGATAGCCTCAAGGAGAGGGTCTATGAGACCAAGGGACCTGAAGGAGGCACTGGGCTCGGTGGAGGTGCTAGCTTCGTCCGGAGAGGGCATTTAAGAGCTGAGCGTACCAGAGCCGACCCGAGGGATCTCAAGCAGCTTTTTGGCACCCTCGTTTAGGGTTAGGGTCCTTTCATACTCTCCCATTACACAATAAACTAACTCCAAGACAAGCCTCATCTCAAGTTACTCTCACAGTCCTTCTCCCATCCCAACAATAAAGGTGCTACGACCCCCTCTGGGTAGGATGAGTACCTTCTCTGCCCCGTGGACCTGGTGCGTCTCGATGTTGGGGAGAGACAACGAGCCCATCGTCATCTCTCCCGCCAATGGCATCGGCGAAACGATGACTTTGGGCAACGACAATTCACCGTAATGTAACGCAATGAGAGTCACCGAGGCCGTGTACGTGGACCCATCCTAGCGACAAAGCCTACTCAGCACAGAGGGGGTGGTCGTGCGCGTGCGAACGCACCTCGGCCTCGAAGTCCCCGCGTTTGGGCCCGCTCACGAGCCAGTCGCGCACCATTTCCTCGATGTCGAACCGCATCCGGTACGGCCTGCGGCCCGCGCCAGACCGTGTGCCCCAGTGCAGCGACGTCTGGATGGATAGCACGGCAGAAATTGGCTGTCCTGCATACAGCGGAGGTAGCTGATCCGTTGGGACGACTTCCTCCGAGAATGGGCTCGTCAGAATGCGTAAGCGCGCAGCGGCGAGTATCTGCGTCAATTCAATTTGCGTCAGGAAG